TTCTCTTTTACAGTAACAGAATTCCTAGTATTTAACTAGGCACATAGCTGTGCATAATAATAACTAAATATCCCTGCCTCTCTTGCAGCTATGAAAGGCATTATGGCCATTGTGACAGGGATAGAGCCATTTTCACAGCTACTGGGGCAGGCCTTTAAAGGTAAGAGTTGAGCCTCCCCCTTCTTTCTTTCCCCTTCCTTTAAGCTAGACTAGGGGCATGATAGTGACAAGTAGCCTTGGGTCAGGTGGATAAGAGAGAAGGAGCCTGGGAACCCTGGCACTGTGGGGCTTATTTACTTGCCCTCAATTTTTTAGGCCTTGATCATTGCAATAGAGAGAAACAAGCTTCTATCCTGTTTTAGCCATTGTTTTTTTTTTGAGCTCCATTATAGTGGCTCAACTTATAGTCTAACTTATACAGTCTATTCACAAGGGGATATATTATTTTCATTGTTCTTATGAAGCAGTCCTAAGACTACATACAGATGATACCAGAAAAATTACTTTTCCTTCTCACCACAAGATATTACCATTAAACTAGTCTGATAAGGTAAAAAAAAATTAGGCGTTCACCTGGACGTGTTGGTGCACATCTGTAATCTCAGCACTTGGGAGGCTGAAGTAGGAGAATCACCTAGAGTTCAAGGCCAGCCTGAATTATACAATAAGACCTTGTCTCAGAAAACAAAAAAACCTAAAAACTAAAAATACAACAACAACAACAAAAAAACCAAAATAAGCCAAACAAAATGAAAACACCTTCGGAGTTCTTTTTCTATTTTAAATAGATTTATTGAGGTATTTTTTGATATATAGTAAACTGACTATATTAAGATGTATAGTTTGTTAAGTTGCCACCCATGAAACGAGCTCCACAAGTAATACAATAAACACATTACCTCATACTCCTTTGTAAACTCCTCCTTCTGCCTCTTCCCCAGCCCCCTCCTCTCCTATCATGCAACCACTGATCATTGAATAGTTTAGATTTATTTCTTTTGCTTTGTTTTGTTTTGTTTTGTATGTAGTTCAGGTTAGCCTTGAACTCACTATGTAGCCCAAGCTAGCCTCAAACGCATGGTGCTCCTCCGGCCTCAGCCTCCCAAGTGCTGGGATTACAGGTGTATGCTACTGTGCCTAGCTGTTTCTGTTTTTTTTTCTACCAGGCCTCTTTCACTCAGCATGTTTATTTGGAGATTAGAGGTTACCTTTAAACAATTTTATATAGTACATTGTTGTAGTATATAATGATTACATTCATCCTGGAGGCATCATCTTTGATTCTTTTATTGTCTCTTCCCCGCCAAAACACGTGCATTCCTTCATTGAATTCAGTAGCCTCTGTTTGAATCCATCTACTTCCGCCTCCACTGCGATGATCTCCTGTAGCCCCTCCTCATCTCTCCTTGGGGCTATTCCAATGGTCTCCTAACCAGTCCTCCCAGCTTCCACTCTTGCTCCCTCCAATTCCTTTCCCACCCAGAACCCACAATGTTCCCTTGAAAATAAGATCAAATCCATCTCCTGCTTGAAATCATTCAGTGATTGCTGATCACATTCAATGACATTCTAACCCCTGAGTGTAGCTTAAAAGTTCTTCGTGACCTGGCCCCCAGTCATCATCTCAAATGCTATGTCCTCCTGAAAATGTATCACACCTAAGTGGCCTCCATTCACCCAATCACCTCTCTGACATCATCTTCTACTATTTTCCCAATCCAACCACTCTGGCTTCTTCCTTTTTAGACTTCAAATATTCCAAGCCTGTCCATTTTCAACTCTTTGCTCTCGAGATCTCTGTTGTCTGGAATGCTCTTTCCCAAGTTCTTAGCTTGGCTTGCTATTTCCATTTTCCAGTTCTCATCTCAAATACTATGTCCTCCTGAAAATGTCTCACGCCTAAGTGGCCTCTACCCAGTCAAGCTCTAAGCACGTTGCCATTTTATTCTTCAATAGTACTTATTTTAATATCTGAGATTGTTATTATTATTATTATTTTGGTTTTTTGAGACAAGGTCTTGCTATATAGTGCAGGCTGGCCTTACACTCACTGTGTAGCCCAAGATGGCCTTACATTCACGGCAATCCTCCTGCCTTAGCCTCCCAAGTGCTAGAATTACAGGTGTGTGCTACCACACACAGCTGCATGCTTATTTATTATTTGTGTTTTTCCAGTGGAGTGTGTGATCCAAGAGGTCAATTGCAATATAGCAAGTTTTTCTCTTGTTATTGCTATATTGCAAAAGCCTAGAACAGTGTCTAACAGATGTTAATAAGCATTTGTTGAATAAACAAAAAAAATGTATTGAGTATTGGTTAGCAGACATGAGGAATAATAGATCAAGGGTTGATTGAATCTCAGGAGTATACCCTTGTACTAGTGAAGCCTTGAACATGAATTCTGGGGTTTTTTCTACAAAATTAGAGACAGGCACTTCATGGTTATCCTCTTTCTTTCTTTCTTTCTTTTCCTTTTTTTTTTTTTTTTTTTGAGACAGGGACTCCCTATGTAGGTCAGGCTTGCCTCTCACTCCATAACCCAGGTTGACCTCAAACTCACGGCAATCCTCCTGCCTCAGATTTAGAAGATGGGATTAGAGGTGTGTGCTACCATGCCCAGCTCAGCTTCTCAGATATTCTTTGGGAAGGTGTTTAACAACAGTAAACTCTTCAGAGCTTTCTGTCATAGTCTCTTCCTGTCATTTTAGAAGCTCCAGAAAGAGAGAGAAAATAATTTGTTTTGAAGACCCAAATGGAAAAGTGGTACTAAAACCTATTTCAGTGATGTTCAGTTCATGTATGTGTATCACATACCGTCAACTTTATGCTTAGGATAACTTTTATCCCCTCACCTGCAATTTGCTGCACTCATGTGATGTCAAGCATGAAGGCTGAGCTAGCTGGAGATGTAACTCAGTGGCAGAGCACTTATATAGCACACATAAGGCCCTAGGTTTGATCCCCAATATCACACATACACATAAACACACTAAGGTAAAAACTGGTGCGGAGCCCGTAAATCTCATAAATCTTTGATAGACATAAATATGAAGTGAACTGCAGAGATATTTTCACATCCCAAGGCATACTGGATTCTGAAGATAGTGTGTATGTCCCCCAAGGCCCCATGTGTTCAGAGCTGGGGGTTTGTAAGATGATTGGATTATGAGGGCTTTGTATAGTAGTTGACTGGCTGTTAGGAGGTGGGGCTTGGTTAGAAGAGGAAGGTCAGTGGGGGCATGGCCTAGCAGGGTTTATCTCCTCCCCTCATTTTCAGCTTCTTGCCATGAAATAGCAGCTGATCCTCTGCCATTATGTCCTGCCTTGGAGCCAGCCAACTATGGACTGAAATGTGAGCCAAAACGAGCCTCTCCTCCTTTAAATTGCAGGTGTTGTGGGTATTTTGTCCAGTGACAAGGAAAGTGACTAGGATAGATGGGCTCTTAGAAATAAGGAAAAAAAAAGCCCGTGAGTCTCACATGAGCAAATCAACTCTCACAAGAGAGACACAGAAGATGCATCCAAGAAAAGAATTCACATCCAAAAACATTTCAGGTGATAGGATGTTGTAAAGAAAGTTTAAAATAATTTCCAATAATGTTCTAATTATATTCACTATTAGGTAAGGCCAAATCATTGCAGGAAAGAGCAGGTGGGTATGAAAAATGACCACACAGACTTTGGTGTGGGGGCACTACTTGGGTCTGAACCCAGGGCCTGCTACTAAAATAAAAACTTGCATTCATTAGCTTTTTGGTGCTGTGACCAAATAACTGAGAAAAATAGTTTAAAAGAGGAAAGATTTATTTTGGTTCACAGTTCCAGAGGCATTAGTTGATGGTCCATTGTTTCTGGGTTTGTGGTAAGGCAGAATAATCACGCCAGGGTTCACTGCTGCTCACCTCATGGCAGTCAGAAAGCAAAGATTAGTGCTACAATGAGGACTTCAAAGATGCAGGGGGGTAGCTCCCATCATATCTCCCATTTGGCTTGTGCAGAAGATACATAGACCTTGGAGAATGATAGATTACTGTAAACTTAAAGTGTTGGCTCCATTTGTGGCTTGATATATTTTAATTCAGCAGCTCAAACCAAGTTGTTTGTCCAACTTTGTAAAGCTACTGTGGTGAATAACTAATGGTCAATGTGTAACACCCAGCTGAACTGAATCATTGTGGTGCTGGGTGTGGAAGGTCCACCTGAGATTGTTGCCAGTAGCATAAAAGCAGAACTAGAGGGGAAGATGTTGTGCTGTTGATTCTCCTGGTGAAGCTTGTCATGCTGGTTTTCCTGATACAAACTTGAACTTCGCTATTTTCATCATCAGAGGAGCTTGGGACCTTGCTGTTACTGAGGATAGCTGTGGTTCTTTTCAGGGGAGCTCTGGTCCTTACTTTGAGCATTATTTCCTGGCTCCAGTGCAGATCCCTCAGCCTGCTAGCACAGATCCTTCATCCCGCTGGCACAGACTGTCTGACTTCCACCACTGACTTTTGGGCCTTCCTAGTGCAGATCCTTAAAACAGCTTTGCATGAGACATTGTCGTGTGCTCTAAGCCTCTAACTGGGCCCATGGAGGACATGCCATGGGCTCTAGGTCTTCAGCTGGATTCATGCGGGACATTGCCATGGGATCCAGGTCCTCAGCTGGACTCTTTGGGTATCTAATGTGTGGACAGATCTCCTGCACTCTTTTGCATTTGACTCTTTGGGTGACTACTATACAATAATTCTATAAATTGTGTCCTGTATTAAATGCTTTGCCTTGTAAACCCTGACCATTACAGCTACACACCAAATTTGCTCTTTGGGCTGTGACTGGAAGACACGGAGGTGCAAGCTAGACTTGATCGGTTACAATAGCAAGGAATATTGAAATGGAATCCAGAATATTTCAAGGGTAACCCACCCAGACAAAGAGGTTAAAAAAAAAAAATCCGGGTTGGCCCGACTCATGCGCAGGCGCAGAAGGAACGCCGACACTCCTTCCTCAAGGCGTGCCCTTCCCCCCACTCTTTCCGGCTTCTTCCAACGCGCAGGCGCATAGAGTGCAACAACATGGCGGCCCCCGTGGATCTGGAATTGAAGAAGGTAAAAGGGGGTCTTGACTAAGCATAGTCATGTGTTTAGCGGACTAGGGCACCGTGTACCAGATGAAGCTCCAGTCCACAGAAGGAAGCAGGGCGCAGGGGAGTGAGGAGTGGGTTCCCAGAGTGGTACAGCGGGGTCGGGTCTCCTCAAGCTGGAGCGGCGGCGGCGGCGGCGCTGGTCGGTGGGAGCTGGTTAGCTAGGGCTGGGGGCGCGGCGGAGGCTCTCTTCGGCCTGGCTCCGTGATTTGAATGCCAGAGCCGTTTCTATGTATTTGAAGCTTTCAGTGAGCGTTTAGTAAGAACTGAAGAGAGCGTTTCAAGGGGAAACCCCGTTGGACCGTTTGCCCTAGCGGGGGTTTCTGTAACTGGGTCCCCTCTTTGCTTTCAGTAATTTAAATTCAATCTTTGTTTTTAGGCCATTTATGTACCCCCCGTAACATATCCTGAAAGGTCCCAGTATGGGCACTTTAGAAAGTCATACGTTGTCATAGCAGTCCCTGTTTCAAGGGTTAAGCCTTCTCTCCGTTCCTTTTTTTTGTTTGTTTGTTTTGTTTTCCGGTACCGGGAACCGAACTCACGACCTTGAGCTTGCCAGGCAGGCGCTTTTGCCGCTGAGCTAAATCCCCAGCCCTCCGTTCCTTTTTTGAAGGACTTACCCCCCAAAACAAAAAGAATCCCTTAAGAATTGGTATCAGAAGGAATTGTATTTCTCTCCTCGTCCAAACAATTGCGTATAAGTGGGTTGTTACTCAGAAACATGTTTGTAACTTAAGCGTGATCAGGGTGCTTAACTCCACTACCGACCCAAAACCGTGTGCTTGGCAGGATAGGGCGAGGGGTAGGAAAGAACCTTAGAAATTCATCCAGTTTAAATCTACTTTTCTACAAAAGCAAGCAGTTGTAGAAAAGTCATAAAGTTGGGACTAGAATCCAGTATTTTTGATCATTAGTTTAGGTTCTTAAGGGAAGCAACTTCTTAGATGACTGCCTCTGGTTAACCTTCACGGGAGAAATAGGACCGCCGGAATAGCTGTAGCTCCTAATGAATGAACCTGTAATTGCTGAGGATATTAGGTATTTGTGCCATGTGGGTTCTTTCGTTTGTTTGTTTTGTTTTGCTGTTCTTGTCTTGAAACTTGTAAATTTAGCCCTTACCTGGTGTTCTTTTGTGCTGTTACATCTCCACATGTGCTTGTTTATTTAGCTGTGCAGAGCAGTCAGATAATACCTGGTATTTTACATTTTAGAACAGTTTACTCTGAAAATTTACTCTTTTTTTCCGTTAAAAGTTGAAATTTAAGTCATAGTTAGTAAAAGAGCTAATAGGAGTACAACTGTGGATGGCCTTACCTACCAGTAGAATTTGTTACCAAGAAATATGGACAATGAATGCAAACAAAATGATTACAGACAAAAACAAAAAACAAAAAACGATTACAGACTTAAAATGAACAGTTTTGACAACCAGTTGAATAAAAAAGAAACTTAGGTAAAGGTTTTACAGTCTAACTTCCTTTTTGTTTGTTTTGTTTTTGTTTTTGTCTTTGTCTATTTGATACAAGGCCTCACTGTGCAGTTCAGGTTGGCCTTGAAATTACTTTGTATAGCTCAGGCTGGCCTCAAACTCACAGCAGTCCTCCTGTCTCAGCCTCCCTGGTGCTGGGATTACAGGTGAGTGCCACAACACCTGGCTTCATTTAATATTTTTACAAAGGCTTTTTTGGGGGTGAAGACTAACAGAAAATTTCAGGCTCCCTGCCTCCCCCAAAGTAAATCTCTTCAAACCTTACTAGTAGGTGACACAACAAAGTCAGAATAAAAGTTAAGTAGTATTTGCTGGGCATTTCAGTTACCAAATATTAGTAAGGCATAAATTTGACAACACGTGAAAGTCATTCCAAGCACTTCAATAAGAGTATCCAAGAACTGTGTTTATCCCTGAATTAAGTAAGAGTACACAGGGGTCAAATTTGGCTTGGTATGTGCAGATGAAGATCATGATGCAATTCTGCCACTGCTTAGAATTTTCTCTTTTGTTTTAGACTTTCTCAAAAATATTTGTATTCTGAGTTTTACTACAGAGAGTAGGATAAAAGGATTCTTCAACTAAGATGGGGTCAGAAGAAATGGTTTTAAGTACCTGCCTTTCTACCCAGTAGTCAACCCTGTGTAAGCCACTTTTATGTCTTAACTCAGTTACTTGATTTCTAGCTTGTGGAAAATGAAACTGCCCTCTCTCAGGAATATCAACAAGAGTAAATGAGATATGTATCATTATAGCTATCCTTGATATTCTCATTAATATTCTTATGTGATTATTTTGAAATAATGTGGGAAAGTGCTTTGAAATCTATCTGTAATATCTGTACTGTAGTGAGTTATTTTTATGGTTCTTGTTTGGAATCTCTGCGTTTCATCATCTGTTTGCAATTGTTTTAATTACTCTGGTTACTTGATACTGGTTATTTAATGTGCATTTATTTTGCCTTTTTCAAATTAATTGCATCTTCTGAGGACATGGTAAACTCAGTATTTAGTATAGCTAATTGTATTGACTCATTTATGTTTGCTGTGGTAAATTTCACAGCTTTGTCTCTGGTTAGCTTTTCCTGCTTTCATAAATTTGGGTTTGGCCTAAATGTTTTCTTTTTTTTTTGACCTAAATGTTTTCTGTGAGATGTTTTGCCTACTAAATCAAGGATTTGTTTTTATCAGGCCTTCACAGAGCTTCAAGCCAAAGTTATTGACACTCAACAGAAGGTTAAGCTTGCAGACATTCAGATTGAACAGCTGAACAGAACGAAAAAGCATGCACATCTTACAGATACAGAGATTATGACTTTGGTAGATGAGACTAACATGTATGAAGGTGTAGGAAGAATGTAAGTAAAATATGTCCTTAATGGTATTATCTTGGGAATGCTTTTGTCTGCATTAAGCTATAGAATTTATTCATTTTAAAACTTGGTTTAAAGTATAGGAATAACTTTCAGGATCCTCTAGTCAGATACCTACTTTTTTAAAAAAGTGAAGAACTTGGTCTTGTGGTGCAGGTTTGCAATCCCAGCACTTGGGGAGGTTGAGACAGAAGGGTTGTAAGTTTGAGCCCAGCCTGGGCAACTTAGTAACTTGGTGAGATCTTGTCTCAAAATTAAAAAAAAAAACAAACCAACAGGGACTAGGGATGTAGCTCAGTGCAAAAGCCTTGGGTTCAATCCCCAGTTTCATTTGAAAAAAACAAAAACAGAAACAAAAACAAGAAACTAAGCCACAGATAGACGTTAAGTGGTTAAATTTATCTATCGTTTGAAGTACATTTACTAAACAGTTCCTAGTTCTCTGTGATTAGGTACTTCAGTGTGTAACTTCAGTGATAAAAATATGATTTGTTATGGGAATATGTTTGTGTAATTTTATATGTGAAGATTTGTTTTGACAGTAATTTTAATTATTTATTTTTGTCTTTTTGAGACAGAGTCTCACTATGCAGTTCAGGCTACTCTTGACCTCACTTTGTTTTTGTTTTTTAAATTTTAAAGAGAGTAGTAAATGAGAAACATCTCACTTTGTAGCCCGGGCTGGCTTTGAACTCGCAATGATCCTCCTGCCTCAGCCTCCCCTGTGCTGGGGTTATAGGTGTGAGCCACCACACCCGGCTTTGACAATAATTTTAATCTCTTCTTCCTTAACTAATTTATTAGGAGTCATAAAAATCAAATCTTTTATTAGAGACTGCTATGGTGGCACATGAGTCTCTCAAAAATGGGAGAATGGGGCACGAGATCATAAGTTCCAGGCCAGTTTTCACTTGGAAAACTTAAAACCTTGTCCCCCAAAAAAGAAGTGTTTGCCTTGCATGGGTGAGGCACCCTGGGTTCAATACTCAACACCACACACACACACTCAAAAGAAGAAAAATCTTCTAGATGTCTGACCAGAGTTGTGAAGTAAAAATATTCATACTGTTTAAATATACTCATTCGACCCTGTATCATGGTACACACCTGTAATCCCAGCACTCAGGAGTTTGAGACTAGCCTGAACTACGTACTGAGACCCTGTCTCAAAATATAAACCAAACAAAATAAATACACTCATTTTCAGTGCTATGCATTGCTCAAATAGAAAAATGCACATGTAAGAAGTCTAGTAAACAGTTTACCTTTTATTTGTTTGTTACTTACAGTTAACCACCTACACTTAACCCTTTTTTTCTAAAAAAAACATGTCCTTGTCAGAGAGACTAGATCTGCATCATATTGTCTAAGCAGAAAATGAGAAATAGAAAAGCCCTTAAGTACGGGTCACATTCCATTGCAATGAGCTAAAAACGACAGCTTTAGGTTTTATCCTGTGTACAAAGATTTTTTTTTTTTTTTTTATTGTGGGAGGTAGGGGAAGAGGGTTTTTCTGGAATTTGGTCTTTGAATATTATTTAGTAAGTGAACCTTTGGGTTTGGAGGACTTTTTTGTTAGAATGGAATTTGACCCCACTCTTGGGATGACTTGTTTTGTGATTGATTTGAAGGAAGCATGACATGTAAAATTTAGTAATGACTTTAGAATGACATCATGAGAAGTAGCCCCTGCTTGGGGCTGAATAAGAGATAGATTATGGTAAACTGCTTATCTGATTTGGTTTCTCAGAATGAACAGTATACCATATATAAATTATGTCCCTTAGTTCATATTTTTCATTTTGGCTTACTTTAAGAGAATGAGAATCACAATTTGAGTTTGTTAATGGGGTGAGAACAAAGTAGAACCTTTGATTATACATCTCTGTAGTGTGAATTGCATTGTTGGCATTCACTACAGGGTAATAGTAGCCTTAATATGAATATCCTTGAGTCTTAAAACAGTACACTCGCTTTTCTAGCATGCCTGTTAACATGTTGTGCTTAGGTTTCACATCATTACACTAGCCTTTGTTTTTAACAGCTATAGAATCCTTTTTCAAAATAGGAAAACTCTTACTATCTTTGGCTTTTTGAACTACAATAAGTTTCTATTTTTAATTAGAATACTTTCATTTATTAAACATTCTGCAGAAATAATGGGCAAGTTGCTTTTTTTTTTTTTTTGGCATAGTGCATAAAGTGCTATAGCTAGATTGTATACCATGCAAAGAATTTTAGAGTTTAAAGGGTTTGATATGAATTAGTTAATGGTAGAATCGTATTATCTTTTAGAAGATCTGTTTCATATAAATTATGTTGCTAAAAAATGTTAGTTTTAAATGTTTGGGTACATTTTGGTTTCAAATTTGACTTTTGTGGTTTCTGTGTTTTACTGGAAGTGTGAGTTTGATCCTTCATCGTAGGGGCATGTAAGGTGAATAGTGTTTGTTGTTTGTCTAAGAGTATTAATGCCCTGTGAGGAAGAAAAGACTTGCTGAGTAGTAGTCTGGTCATGAGCGTGTTCTCTTTCTTGGTGCTAAACCTGAAATATCTATTTCTGAGTTTATGGTCTTGAGTAATCTTGGGTATCATTGTGATTCATGTCTTTAATTCTAGTCTTTATCTTACATTTTCTTTGCAAGTACTGTTTGAGAATTCTGATTACACTATTAATTTTTTCCAAATTTGTGTTTTGAAATTACAGATTATAAAATCCAAAGCTCTATTTTTATTTTAGAACCAGCAGTATTTTTCCGTTTCTGAAATCCAGGCCCATTAATTTTTGCCTACCTGCATTTTTTGCATCCTGCATTCATTGTGTCTGTCCACGTGCATTTTTCACACATCTTCCAGAATTGATCATATAAATATTTTTATAAAATCCTTTGTCTATTCTCTGTTGTACACAGGATAAAACCTAAATTTGTTAGCTTGGCATTCGTGGGCATTTATGGCTCTTAATTTACCTACCCAACTTCATGTCCTATCACTTTCTGTTCCCAGGCTCAGGATCACACATACATTTCATCTTATGAGCCTACTTCCTTATATTGATTGTGTGTTACCAGTTGGGAGGGGTTTTGAGGTTTTATGTGGGCTTTAAACATGTGAGTAGTGATGTCTGTAATGGGTTAGGGTAGAAAAATACTTGCACATATGCCAGAAATTGTTATTCCAACCTTGCCACATTTGTTTTCTCATACCTGTCATATTTTTACACTTTTTTTTTTGCTTTTGCTCATTCTGTCTTTGTATGGCAATATCCCGCTTTCCCTTGTGAAATTCTCATCCTTCAAAGTGTTGCTCAAAGTGTATAGTGATTCTGAAGGTTTTCCCAGCCACTAGGCCAGTGATGGTAAACCTTTTAGAGTTTTCAGTGATACAAACAGTCCAATGTGGCACAAGTGCCGTAGGTTTGCCACCACTTAAGTCTAGGCGGACTTACTCGCTCTTTCCTTAGTGATGTTGTTCCTAAAGCTAGTGGAGCTCATTGACTGTGTCATGTGCTTTCCCCAATCAGATCATCAACTCTGAGACAATACATACACGTTATCATTGTTTCCTCATTTCTCAAAATAATGTCTGGCACAAACCTGATTCCTTCTCTTGCCTAAGTAAAATATCTGCATTTTTTTTGTGGTTCTTCAGCAAAAGTTATGTTTAGAAAGTGTCAGAGACTTAAGAATTAGGGTTTACTATTCTGTTAATACATGATTTATTTAAGATGAAATTACAAAAGTCTTGTTTGTTAGATTTTTTTTTTTTTTTTTGAGACCTTGAGTTCACTATGTAGCCCAGGCTGCCTTTGAATGTGCAGCAGTCCTCCTGCCTCAGCCCCCTGAGTGCTGGGATTGTAGGCATGTGCCATCACGCCTGGCTGAAGTCACATGTTTTGACAAGGGCAAAAGAAATGTTTCTGACCCAAATTGTCCTTTCATCTGTGAGGATTAATCTGACAGGATTAATTCTTTACTCAATCTGTTGAGAAGGTTGACTAATTCTAAATGCCAGCCAGTTGTGAGATAATCAAAACTGACAACGTAGAAAACCCAGTCCTTTAGAATTATGCTGAAGGTAGTATAATGTTGGGAAAACAAATGCTAATCTGTGCAGAATAATTTCAGTGTACAGTAATTATATGTGTTTTACTTTCTTCAGCTTCACATAGAATGGAAGTCAGATTTTTTTCCAAGGGTATGTGTTTAGTTTAACAAATCATTGTAGGCCTACATACCCTTCAGCTCATACGTAGGAGAAATATGGCAGTGTTAAATACCTCTTCTGCCTTGCTGTTTTTGGTTTAAAATAAGGAAAGTCAATCTACAGGATCAGAAAAGATGAATTGCTATATACTGTAAGCTCTGGGTATTCATTGCTCAAAGCTATATTCCATCCAGTCTTTTGGCATGTTGCCAGCACATTTTATTTCTCTTACTTCATATTCTTTGGAGAGGCTGTTATGTAGCCTGATACTACTACCACCAACTTCTAGTTTTGCTGCTTAAGCTGTTTGTGAGCTGACCTCACTATACTGCTTTGAGAACTATGATGAAAGTTACAACTGTGGGGTGATCTGTCTGAATATTTGGAAGTGTTTGTCTTTGCGTCTTTCTAACATGCAAAGAGGAAATACAAATCTCATATAAATGTGATGTGAATATTTCTTGTGTCTTTTTTAATGAGTAAGAACCAATTTATAATTTCTGTGGAGGTTTTCTTTTTACTTTGCATAGTACAGGATAAAAATTTTAATTATCTTAATTTTTTGTAACACTTATATTTGTTTTTTTTTTTTTCCCCCCGGTACCGGCAATCGAACTCACGACCTTGCGCTTGCCAGGCAGGCGCTGTGCCGCTGAGCTAAATCCCCAGCCCCTGTAAGACTTACATTTGAAAATGCACATAAATGACATATGAGTGTTTCAAAGCACCATCATTAGAAGAAATGTCAAGCTTTTATTAATGACAGGTATGATCCTGAC